AATTCACATTTTAATGTTTGAAAACTATGTTAACACTGCATTTATATAACATAACTTCTTACACCTTCTTATTTATACCACACCCCGAAAGGTGTGGGGGGAAAAACACCAACTTTACATGATGGACAGTGAACAGCAAAGTTCTGTGTCTTGTGGCTCTCGTTGGAGGCCCACCTGGAATCATTTACAAGCTTTTTACATGACTAAAACAGTGCTGTGCTACATGTGCCGAGTCAGATGGGGGCTGGACACACTGGACTCTAGAGACTTACGTACCGATGATTAAGATTCAAGTGTTGGGGGGTAAAACAGACAAGACGGTCTACCTTGGCATCAATACTAAGAGGCAAACATGCAAGACCTTCAAAAGCTTACACAGCAGATGTTTCCCTTCAAATCTGTGCTCATCTTAATATGTGGCCCCCTCTTCGAGGACCCCAAAGCTTGGGAAGCGACAATTCCATTTTGGGAAAACAAGAACAAAAGCTCTCCCTTACCTCTGTTTTCATAAGTTCTACGCAGCAACACCAACACTAACCATGAAAGAATGTTATGAAAAAAAGAAAAAAAAAAAAACACAGCAATTTCTTAATTTGGGCACGTCTGTTTTTACATGACAGTGATTTTCTTCTAAATTGTCCTTATTTGTAACATCTAAACAGCAGATCGTAATACCAGCATAAGAAATCAAAGAGGTTATTTCTCAGACATTTCTTTTTTCCAGACAGGTAATTAAAGTTTTAGGCTCCAGGTTTACACTGACAGAACTATGGGAGAGAAGTTTCTTCTAGTTCCCAAACAAAACCGCTAACATCTATGAGAACGGGTATTTCTTATCTGCAGATACTTGCAATCTCTATGTCTGTGTGGATTAACAACTGCAAAAATATACAGCTTCCTATGTATTTACAACGTATTTACATACAAATGAGGGGTTCCTACAGTGAGCCTCAGCTGCATAGATTCTTCAAGCCTGTGTAGAGACAGGTCCAGCACTCCGTGGTTCTTCCTCAGGGACCCTGAGAAAGAAAGCCACCTGCATCCGTGCGCAATCTGCACCGTTCTCCAAGAACCCACCCCTTTAGACTTAGCACTGCTTTCCGTTATTACCCGCAACCCCAGTCTGAACCCCAAAGTCTTTTATTCTTACTAGCAACTCACTGTGATTTAGAGGAAGGACTATGTTCTGTTGCAGGGTTCCCAGAGCTGCCATCCTGAGAGGAAAACACTGATGAATATTGCTAGGTAATAGTGTGACATCTTTTTCCGAGTGCCCAGATGTTCCCTTGCATAGACACTGCCATTCTCAAAGCCTGTCCCCTTTCTGAACGGATGGATGGAGGCCTTGCTCTAAGGCAGGGGCCACACCAGCCACCTCTGCCCCACTCCAGTTAGCTCCACAGACACTGCCTCAGTGCTGCCCACCTAGAACACTCACTGTATTGATATTTTATACTTCGTGGTGCCAGGGCCCTGCTCCCACTACACCAGCACCCTACCCCGCCGTGGAGACAGCCCGCCTGGATAATTGGCTCCTGAAAACTTGGCAGTGCCCTTCGGGTTGCATTTTTTTTAAATCACTTTCTTTTAATATACCTTACTTTTTTTTAAAGCCTAAATTTGAAGTCTTTACAGCTATAAGAAAATACACTAGTGCCTCAGGCTGGTTTGCCTAAAGGGCACCCTGGGTCTCACTCATGCCCCTGCACTGCGATTCCAGCATGACGGAACACCCACGAGCTGTTCTCCCTCTCCTGCTCTTGCAGACACTGGCTGGATCCTCTTCTACCCTCCCCTAGTCCTGGCTTCAATGCCTCACCCCAGGAACCGCCCCCAAACTTGATGCCCCCAGCATCACTTGGGGCTAGACCTGAGGCTTGCAGAAGGCAGGTTGCTTCCTCCACTGTGCCTGGCGGGGCTGAAGCATGGAAGATGACATCCATGCTGCTGGCCTGGGGGCAGGGTGGTGGTACTGCAATTTGAGAGAAACCAGCTTGGGAGCTTGAGTTCAACTCCATAGTTGTTGGCAGAACTGCTACAGGCCTCCTCTAAAACAAAGGCATCCTACCACAACCCTCCCCGTCAGCACTCTTATGTTTCTTAACAGGGTCCATAAATATACAAGAAGGAATGTGGAGGGAGACCCTTTCACACCTTTCATCTGATTGCCAAGCAGTTAAAGCATGGTGACCAGCACAGACAGCATTAAAAGTGCTGTGCTGTGTGCTGGCCTCAAAGCTGGCTCCTGGGAGAAGCTATGAAATTAATGGCCGGGAAAGAGGTGGACTCTAGGAGCTAACCACCATAACAGAATTGGAAGTGGCCAGGGCATGCCTGATATCTTCAGAGAAAACAAGGGGTACCAGCTAAGGAGCCCCCCTTCCTCCTCCATCTCCATCCTACCAACAGGCTTTTGAACTCAGCTCCTCTGATCTTGCTGGAGCCTCTGCTTCAGGCTGTGGTGGAAGAGCTCCAACCTCACTGTCTTGCAGGTGATCCATGACAGACATGAGACATGAGCAGTCCAGATTCCACAACAGACAGTGGGATATTCTTAGTGACCCTAACTGCCCCCCACCCCCCAACTTCCATTCTACCTGGGGACTTGGCTCTTCTAGAGTCCCTTTCAGCTCAACTCTGAGTTTGATAATCTTTTCCAGCTGCTCTAGGGACTCAATCGCCATATATAATCCAATTAAGAAAAATCCATTCCAGGTTACAAAGCTTTAAAAGATGTTCTTCCTGGGGACCATGGCTTTTCCTTTGTACACACTCTGCTAACCCTTCTAACTGACCATCAACACGATCTAGGAATCTACAGCAGTCTGTGTTACAACAACCAGAGAACAGCGCTAAACCCAAAGTCCGAAACTGGCCCTGGCCAACAGCGTGGAGACCCGATGTGCGGAAGAAAAACACAACTTCCCGGGGCTGAGGCCTACTACCCTTGAGCCTACTAATTTATCGGAAAAACGCCTATTTCATCTGTCTGTGCTATTGAACGCTACCTAACATCTGTGACACAGGTATGTGTTGGCTACAAGTTCATTATTCTGACCAAGAGTAAGGGCTTTACAGTGAATACCACAGAAACCATGGAATTAACTGGTACCTGACAAATGACAGTAAGATCTAGTACATTCAAACAGACTCAGGTACATACATAAAAGAGCTTTTAAAACAACGTGTATCACAGACCTCAATAGCAAGGTGCTTCCTGCAAATAAATATACTGTAAATAATACGTTAGTTTAACCAACACATAAAATCCAGATATACAAAATCACAACACATCCCAGAGTCAATGAGTTGCTGAATTCACTTCGTGAATGTAAATGAATGGATTGTAGAATAAGGAGGAAATAGGGTAGTATAGCTTGCAACTGGATTAAGGTATTTTTAAAGTGCCAAACAAGCTACAAAGGTTGGCCGAGTCCTCTCTGGTTTCCTGTGACACGGAGGACAGAGGTGACTGTGGGGTCTACCCTCTTGCTGTCTAAGCAGGTCCTCAAGGTAGACAGAGCTCTAAGTACTGTACCAACATAATGATGCAATGCAGGAACCAGCTTTTCCTTCTTCCCCACGAGGACAGCGGAGGCGCTTTGACGCCTACCTCCTCTGTGGGACTTAGTGTGTGAAGGGACATCTCTGGGCTACTCCCGTGAGCTTCCTGAAGACCGCTGGGGATTTCAGGCAGGAGGGACAGCGTCTAAACCCAAGGGGCTTCTGCCAACTCTGTTAGCTTCTACTCATCTCCAGAGAAGAAGCCCAGGCTCAGTGCTTTTTTCTGTATCCGAGACTCCAACCAGAATATGTCTGACTGCAATACAAGCCCTGTTTGCAGAGTGGCCACTGCGCATGCGCGCTTCTTACTGTGGCTAAGCTAGGAGACGCCGCCGACAGTCCCATCAACAGGGGCGCGCTGCACTGAGTTTCCAGAGCTGCCGTGTCCAAAGCTCGTGCAGTTTTCAATCTCCTTATCATTTCCCTCTGTTCCCCTTAGGAGAAAGCACAGGCAACTTTGCCCTCCTGCGTGGGTCACGCGGAACAGGCAGTAATGAGATAAAGGAAGAAACGCAGGGGGAAAGGGGTCTCCTGCCTGCCTTTCCCAGCTGGGGCAAGAGGGGACACAGTGACGTTAGAGGCTATTCCACAAAGACTCTCAGTAGGCTTGCGCTCGAGATTGGATGGAGAATTAATGAAGAATAGAAATGAGGCTTATTTAAGGTACAAAAATCTCGTATTTGTAATAACCTAGATTTATAGATAAAAAACAAGTCTTCTAAAGACTTCCCTAAAGTAAAGTTACCCAATATAAAACAGGCTGACCTAGCCTGGGCCACCCTTAGGTACATGTTATTCTATTTTGCAAAAAGCTGGTGGACATGACTAAATGAGGCTGGGAGAATAAACTAACAGATCGTTTCCCCTTTAGTGACATGGGTGCAGACAGAAGGCTGTCTGCATCAGGAGTACTTCCCTAAGCATTCTGGGCAGTCTCCTTCGTCACTGCGGGAGCCGTGGGACCCCAAGCAGGTGACTCAGCCTGAAGTAACTGTGACACCAGAGGCTGAGAATGGAACGGGTGGGTGTGTGGGGAACAGCTTCACTGTGACTTCTCCCAATGTGGACTTTAATACATTGACAGAGGCGTCGTGCCCACCCCTTCCCCACTGCAGACACTCCCAGGGGACAGCTCCATGTGGGAGCAGGATGGAGTTCCAGCGGGCCTAGGACTGTCCACACTGGGTGATCAGAGCTGCCTCAAAGGCTGGGCATGCTCAGACTGCAGCCAAACCCGTCTCTCAAAGGGTTAGCCCCGTGTGCTATGTTAACCAAAATAGGCAAATTATTTATGAAACCTCTTTTTTTTTCTGAAACCTTTTTTTTTTTCTGTAAAGCAAAATAAATATATACAATTCAAGATTATTTTCTCTTCTAAAAAGATACAGACAGCATGAGCGGAGTATCAGTAGGAAAAGGATTTCAGAACCCAGGTGTCTAACAAACGAACACAGCTGATGATCATGTTTCCAAAGTTCTAAGAGACCGAGAAGCCACGGAACACAGCGAAGAGGGGGAAGGTAGGAAGCGCTGGAAAAGAGGACTGCTTGAAATCTGGAAAAGCTAAAATCTGCAATCCCTAAGCGGAGATCCCGGGAGGACACTAGCAGCGGCTCCCTGTGTCGCAACCCCAGAGGCATCCTGTGCGTTTCTGTCTGTTTCTGTAAACTTGCAAAAGAAGTGGGGAAGGGCTGCGGATGAGTGGCGGCTGAAGGATGGGGCGGACGCTGGCTCTTCGAGGCTGGTCTCAGTGGCCCTCGTCACTGCTGGACGAGCAAGCCCAGTCGTAGATGACCAGGGGAATGCTGATCAAGGAGAACAACACTCCCAGGCCCAAGAAAAGGGCGGCCTGCAGCGACAAAACATGTGTTATTTCCCACGTAACCAACATTTCCTACCCGCGGCTGGGGAGAATGGAAACTCTGGACAGCCCCCGTCCTCTACATTTTGACCCTTTGACTTCTGGGTCACCTCCGCAGTATCCATGCTACAAGTGACTGGGTCTCTTTAGGACTTCCTCTCTAAAAACATCGCAACCTAAGAAGCAGGGTGTGGCGTCACCCGCCTTTAGTCCCAGCACGGGTGTGTGTCTGTGTGTGTGCCCGCAGATTGCTGTGACTTCCAGGCCAGCCTGGCCTATACAAGAGTTCCAAGACAGCCATGGTTAGAGAGTGAGACCCTGTCTTTAAAAACAAAAAAACACCCCCCCCCCAAAAAAAAACAAACAAACATAAAACCCATCACAACTAACACAAGTTTTGGGAAGTACATCCAGGTCGTTTTGTCGGCCATTACCTATCAGCCCACATTATTACTGAGAAGCAAACATTTCTGTTTGAAGAGTGGAATGCATGCTGATTTGGTCTAAGAGTGGCAATAGGGCAGAACTAACCAAGTTAATTGAATAAAGCGTTGATGAAGGTCGCAGGTGGGTCGGCCAGCCCAGCACCTGGGAGACCTTAGCTTACGCACCACCTGAACTTGACAGTGGATCCGGCAAGCTTTATGGGGTGGTGCGGGGGCTCAGGAGAGCCAGGGGCTGGCCTGGAAACTGGGGGTTGGGGCGGGGAGAGACAGAGCTAAGGAAAGGGTGGTTGAGTGGTGAATCTAACAAGCCACAGTCCCTCAAGCACAGCTCCTGTCTAGAGGCCAAGCAAAATGGCACTCCAAGACAGGACTGAGTCACTTTACCCCTGATCCCCTCACTGTCCCGAGCTCACCACCCTCACGATGCCCTTGAATTTCCGCAGATCCACAGACAATCCCAATACAGAAAGGTAGCTCTGAGTCCCAGTCTGCTTGTTCCAAGGAATTTCTGTCAAATCCTTACGGTAACTCCATTAGACATTTGTGTCTAACTGGGGAAGCTACTGTGAGGGTTGGAAAGGGTTCTGAATTGAGGCTTTGGCTGTCCCCAAAGAAAGTCTAAAGGGCTGATACTCCCCTCAACGCCACTGAAAGTAATGTTAGGAGACTGTTTCCCTGCAAGTTGAGATGGGAAACTAATCAGAAAAATTAGAGTGGTCTGGCAACACATACCCAAATCCTTTGAGTGCCTTTATCTCCGTCTTGGTTGGTGATTTTTAAATAAAGAGACGAAGGAAGAATGAAAATGAGCATATTAGCAGACGTAACTCCTGGAAATTAAGAAAACAACTGGTTAGAGCCGCTACTGAGAACTTTTAACCACAAACAGCTTCTGTGTGCTGTAAAATGACTATAAGGCCATACCTACGACTCCAAAGATATCCTTCATGGAGGGAATAAAGATCACCAGCAGGTTGATAATCACCAGGAGGATGACAGTGACCACGACGTGGCGGCCTAAGTGGAACTTCGTCTTCTTGGCCAGTTCAAATAGCGACGAGCGAACCTGAGGGAAAAGCAGAGATTCCAAAAGGCTACAGGTGGCACGCTGACCCTCTACTCTCTGTAGAAGAGCCGGTTTATTGGTGCATGGGACTGGCCAAGCATTTTCTAACACTTGGCAAAGGCAGAGGTGGCTTAACGGTTTGAAGGTTCTGGCGGCTCGACTCCATCCTTTAAGACCCTGAGGCGTGAAGCAGGAAGCTTTCCTTTGGGTGGGGTGATTTCCACTGAGTGTTCTCTATGGGAAGGTATCTGTATTCTTGTTAAAAAGGAGGCTGGAAGACTGGAATGCAGACCCAGTCCCCAGAAACCACACTAGCGTAGGGACCCCACTTCCTGTCTAGGAGCTCGGAGACTTGGGCTGAGCCGAACGTGGATGACCAGAGAAGCCAGAAAGCGGGCTTTCTCTGGAACAGGATCCTGAAGTCAGGAGGAAAGCCCAGAGCCCAGCGCTTCTCCGGGTACCTGAAGGCCCTTTACTTACGGTGAAAAACAACACCGGCACGGTGAGGATGACAGCCACAATGACAGCCAGCCGCACTGTCAGGATGAGAATGTCGTCTTTGCTTTGGTACTTGTGAAGAAGATCTGACTGCACCTTTTCTGAAACGAGAGCAAGTCGGGGAGTAGGGGGTTAAAGGAGACCTCAAACTGCTCAACGACAGTCCACCTAAACAATCCGGACTGTAAAGAGGAGGAAAGCTGTTCTGGCTGGTTTTGTGTCATCTTGACACAAGCTAGAGTGACAGAGAGGAAGGAGCCTCAATTGAAGAAATGCCTCCATGAGATCCAGCTTCGGAGGAGGGCCCAGCCAAGTCAGCAGCACCCTCCATGGCCTCTGCCTCAGATCCTGCCTCCAGGGTCCTGCCCTGCTTGAGTTCCTGTCCTGACTTCCTTTGGTGATGAAGAGCAATGTGGAAGTGTAAGCTGAACAAACCCTTTCCTCCCCAACCTGCCTGTTGGTCATGGTGTTCGGTAGCAGCAACAGAAACCCTGAGACAGAAGACAAGGTTTTGAAGCGTCTGTTACAACCATGTGTCAAGTCAAAGAAATGCCCCTGTGAGGTGTGGTCTCTGCACATGCTCTATTACCTGAGAGGGGTCTGGTGTCACCACCAGAGGGGGCTGCTCAGAGGTGGAGGCTCTTTGTACTACACACAGGGGGAAAGCATAAAGGCCTTCCTATCGGCCTTCCCCCACGGGCAGCTCATCCCTAACGCCCGCCTCCCTGCAGGAGGAAGGGCCAACCGTCTCTTCTAATCTGCTCCTTGCAACTCCACGTCCAGTGGCCCAGCAGCAAGCAAGCTAACTCAGCCGCACCATCAGGAGAGAACCCTCCTATCTATGCCCATTTCTCCCACAAAACAGTCTTCACAGTGCACGGGCTACTTTGACTTTCCTCAACTCACAACTATAAAAAGTGTGGATTTTTTAAAATTTTTCCAAAGGCTGTGCACGCTGCAGTAGAGGCCTGAGCGTGCAGATGCTCGCTCTCTTGATAAGGGACTGCCCAACCCCTCGAGACTCCTTTCCAAGGTATGGAAAAGGAATTCAGATTGTAACGAGTCCCACCATGATGAAAAAAAGACTAGAGGTTATAATAATAATAATAATAACAACAACAACAACAACAATCTCAGTAGATCTAACTTTCTTTACTCAAAATGCATAACCCCTGATAAATAGCCCAGATTTTTCCCTGTAATCAGATAAAAGATTTTGTTACAGGCCTGGGGGGCGGGGGAGAACTGCTTACCGGCTTGAACTTACAAGGACTTGGAAACTTAGGCCGGGTAACTCAGGCCTTGAATGCTGCTCTCTTCTCTCTCCCCTCCCCCACCAGCCCTGTGATGCAGAAAACCTAGGACTGGAATTTTCATAAAAAACAAAAGGTAACTCCCCCCACCCCACCTCTGAGGCAACATACAAAGCTAAGTCCATAGGAAGGCGGCGTGGGAGGGTACTGCTAGGGAAGCTGAGGCAGGGGGATTGTGAATTTGAGGGGTAAGCTGAGCTACAGAATTAAGTAAAACTGCAGGGTCATCGCCTGAGATGCGTCAGCAGGCAAAGCCATGCACCATCCCTCCGGAGTCAGAAGCACAAAGGGAAAATGTTTCTTTCCCAACTTTCACTTCTTTTCTATGTCACCGCTTCCCTTCTCTGTGGCTACCAAGTGCCATCGAGTAATTAGGTGCTTTATTTTTAATTAACTTTGAGTGTCATGAGTGTGGGCTCAGCTCTTTCTCACTTTCAGTGTCTCTCTCTTCTATTAATGGAATCTGACCCAATTTGCAGTGTTAAGGAGGAAAGCCTTCTTTGATGTATTTTAAATTTTCCTAAGATGGCATGTTTCTAAAATGTAATTTCTCTGAAAAAGAAAGAAAAAAGCTCCGGGGGGGGAATTATATTATTTTTCAGTAATTAGCCTATTATGCAGCCTGAATGAATAGGAAAGAAGCCATCACCATTTGCTCTAAGGAGAAAACAAACAAACAAACAAAAACCAGAAAACATGGACCTTTTTGTCACATTTCTTGATTTCAATGTAAAATTAGTTCAGTACTGGTTTTTTTCCTGCTATTTTTAAACACACAGCTATGTTCCAGCAGATGTGACTTACCATAAAATGTCAGGTACCCAAAGATGGCGGTCAGGAAGTACATGACAAACATGGCAAAGAAGGAGATGTTCGAAACCATCTGCATTTTCTTCTGTGACCGGCTAAAATCAAAGACAAAAGACGTTTTAAAAATCATATTGCTGATTTAAAGTGTTATGGTCACCCCAAACCAGAGATCAGTTCCTCTCCTGACTAGCTTGGCTGGCCCCCGCAACGATGCAGTTTAGAATAATTCTTTAATAACAAATGGGTGCTGTGAGGCAGCAAATCCTGGATTACTCCAAAGCGCCTTTTTCTGGGTGCTTTAAAAAGACACAGTCCTCACTCTCAGCCATGTGGTGGTGCACACTAGGGGAGGCAGAGGCAGGTGGATCTCTCTGAGTTTGAGGCCAGCCTGGTCTACAAAGTGAGTTCCAGAATAGCCCAAGCTGCACAGAGAAACCCTGTGTTGAAAAAAAATATATATATATATAGTTCTCATCTGGAGGGTGAACAATTAAAAAAAAAAAAAAGTCTGTGGTTGTTGTGATTTCCCATGACGACCACGTACCAAAAAATTCCAGTGTTCTTCCCCAAGCCTGAGAGGTAAGGTAAGAGCCAGGGCCTCACCCCAGGTCTGCTGACCACATTCTGGTTTGGCAGAGCTTAGACTCAGAAACACACCTGGGCTGCCCGTCTCCAAGCGTTCAGGAGCTCTCAGCTAATTAAGATAGGGCGGGCTCTAGCTCCCGGGTCAGGCTTACTTGAGGTTGGGCTCACCCTTCAACTGAGTGCTCAAACAACGAATCTACAGCCCATGTTGCTTTCTGTACCAGTCACAGCCTCCAGTTGGGCTGACAGATAACTGAGATGCCATGCGGGTCAAGAGAACAGGAACACTGAGAAAACTTAAATTCTCCGTGTTTACGGCCTAAGGGAAGACCAAGGTGTGTATGCACAGATGCAGGCACTTCAAAATGCAGCCATGGATCAGTTAAACAGGAAAGCCAACAGACTCAAGAGGAAAGTCAGTGCCAAGGGACACCTCAAAGTGGGAACAGGCAGCCATACTGTGCGCCTCTTCTGAACTTACGACAATACGGATAACAAGCTCTACGCAGAACGAGTCTAATGACAGTGGGCTAAGAAGGACATATGAGGAGTTTATAAGCCGGCCTTTGACCCCCACTTCTGAGGCGACATGAAGGCTAAGTCCGTAGGAAGGCTGGGTGGTAGGGTACTGCTGGCGAGGCTGAGGCGGGAGGATTGAAGTTTTAGGGGTAAGCCGGGGTACCTAGGAAAGTTCTATCTCAAAAACAACAGATCCGCTTACAAAACAACCAACCATGAGTAGCAAAACTCAATACGGATACATGAACTCCTAAATGACACAGTATTTGGAGAAAAAAAATGAACTAGAAAGCCCACATTAGGGGACCGGGTTGCTGAGGAGATGGCTCAGTGGCTAAGAGCAGTGCTATGCAAGCAACAGGACTATAAGCCAAGTAAAAGGCTGGTGTGCCAGAGAGCACCTGTAACTCCAGTGTTTGGGGGGTAGTGGGGGGGTTGGAGGGGGTCACTGGGCTCGCTGGCTGCCAGTGTAGCTAGAGACTCTGTCTCAAGGGAATAAGGTGGGAAGCATGACCAAATCTGAATGCACACAAGTGTAGCACTCATACACGCATACAACTAACTAACTGATTAAGGCCACACGGCTTGTCACTTTCTTATTTATAGCCAGCAACACAGCCCATTTCGGAGCTTCCTTAATAAACAGCTCGCTCAAGAACAGGCAGGACAGCAGTGAACACTGAAAGTGGATGATGATCTGTTTTCACACAAAACTGGCCCACTGATAGGAGGGGTGCTACAGATCTCGGTACGAAACCGTACGAATTCTTACTCTTTGAGCTCGCTGTAGATCGGCAGGACAGACGGGTGGCAGACGAATGCAAACGCGATGGTTGGTAAAGCATACACCGTCTGTTTGAAAGAGGAAAAGAGAAAGACATTCAGGATAAACCTTTCCACCACAGACATCAGGCTGCTCTCGGACTTCTGAGCTGCCACTAGCAGCCCGCTCCTTGGCTCCTAGGCTCACGTGATTTTTAGGATAAAAACAAAACAAAACAACAAAACTTGAAAGACAAGAGAAGCAGCATATGGTCTCACTGTACCAAACACCTTCCGACAGGGCCCTGCGATAGGAAAATAGGACGCTCATTTTCACACAGCAGTCGGGAGCCTCCCGGGGGATGCCAAGCCACGCCTGACTGACTGCAAAGGCTGCTGTCTTCCAGGCTGCCAACCGAACCCCAGCAGCGAAGGGAGGTTTCTTAAGTAGCCAATGCGGGGTCCCCCTTCACCACCTGCACACAGCAGCAGCGGATGAGGGGGTGGTCCACCGGGGCACCAGCCAGCGCTCCCCACAGGGAGAGCGGGCGGCATGCAGACAACTACCCAGGGACTGTCACAAGGCCCAAAAGCTGTCTGAAGCCAGAGAAGGAGTGTGGCTGTGAGCATGTGCGCACAACAGCTGCGAACTCCTCCGCGGTGTGTAAATGCATGGTAGAAGAGGGAGGGAAGCTACTGTGTCTTCTTTTAGAGACAAAAACACCCCAAACAGGTGGTGAGAACACGCACGAGTTATTACTGCCCTCAATACCAATGCTCGTCTTCATTTCTAAACGCGCAGACTTACTTTGGAGTTGAAGGTGACATATTTTGGCGTACACATGTCAGTCACATTAGCACTTATTGTTGAGTTCTGTTCTACATTCAAGCAGGGAATTTGAAATTTCTTGTAGATAACCTGGTATTGAGAGACACAGGAGAATCAGCGGAGATTATATTAAAGCCAAACCATGAAGTGACGACTAGAGGGCCTCGAACTGTGCTAAAAGCGCAGCAATCGCTTCAACCAGAACTTACCACTATTAGGAAAAAAACCATGCAGCTCAAGGAAAATCCACTGGTGTAGCCAAGATACCCTTTAAAGAGAGCAAAATATCAGTTACGGATAAAAGCATCATATTTGGTATCTTGATACAGATCTCAGAAAAATCTAGGAAAAAGCGGTTTTCTGGCTTTGACCCTTAGTGTCATGTTGGTGCACCCTAATGCCAAACCTTTCTATCCTGATCCTCTCCACAGCACTCTCTTACACACTTACTGTGGGAACCTTCAGCGTTACCAGTAAGCTTCTCTCTCAGGGAGAGGCCAACACAGCTGGATGCAAGCTTCTGGGAACAAAGAGCAGCCGTTCTCAACCTTCCTAATGACCCTTTAGTACAGTTCCTCATGCCGGGGTGACCCCCAACGATAAAATTACTTTCATTGCTACTTCATTACTGTAATTCTGCTACTGCTATGAATCATAATGCAAATATCCGATTTGCAGGATGTCTGACATGCGACCCTGTGAAAGGATCTTTTGATTCCCTAACGGGTCTCGACCACAGGCTGACAACTGCTGAAATGGGGCATTTGAAAGCCTGATATCTCTTGAAATGGCCAGGAAAGGTGGTCACCACAACCTCCAGAACAGCAGATGACCTCCCGGGAATTGCATTATTTCTCACCCTCAGGGAAGGGCCATTCTCTAACTGTCCTAACACTAATGAGAGGGACAGAAAACCCTACAGAAACCCAGAGAGCCAAAAAGTAAGTATTTAAGAAAAACTACTTATAAACTGTGCAACTCTGAAATAGTTTAGCTAAACCAGGATAAAAGCAAACAAATGAAAACCCCTGCAATTCATAATTATTTTTGAAAAAACTTCAACCCAAAGTTTTGTCTTGAATTAGCCCAGATTTTCTTGAGACAGGGTTTCTCTGTGTAGCTTTATCTGTCCTGGACTTGCTTTGTAGACCAGGCTGGCCTCAAACTCATATTGATCCTCCTGTCTCTGCCTCCTAAGTGCTGGGATTACCAGACTACACCACCACGCCTGGCAAATTAGCCCAGAATTAAAAAATGCATTTTGGAGTCTTTGGACAGTTGGAATTCTGGCTTCATTATTCACTGTATGAACTACCCAAAAGTCCAGGCATGCTTGTCTCCAAATATAAGTGTAAAATCAGACATCAAAACCAAAAGGAAGAGTTGGAGATCGTCTGCCTGCCCCCCTTAAAGTTCTCTTTCTGCTTCTGACAGGTGAAGCCGCTGAGACTGGCTACACTCTAAACTGAAGAGTTATCCTTAACACTTCTGCTTTGTCTTGATCATTAGATTTGAAGCCTCTGAGTATAAATGATTGGAATATTTAAAACCACAAACCAGCCAAAGCAGGAAGATCTTGAGTTAAGACTTAGGGAGACCCTATTTCTGAACTCACGGTAAGTAACTCAATAGCAGACATTTGGGTAGAAGGCATAAGGCCCTGGGGTTGATCTCCAACACCACAAAACAGTACTGGATAGAATTCCATTTTTCTGGACTTTTCTTACACCAGCCTGTAAGTTACGCTTCTGAAAACGCTAAGAGTCTATTCCACTCCCAGAACCCCTTCTTCCCAGCTCCAGCTCAGTGGAAACGCTTCTCAGAAAGCCACACTGTGTTCTTAACTTCACATTAACATCAGCCCTCATTAACACTTCCAACTTATGATTTATTTTGTCATTATCCTAATAAGCCAGGCAAAGCTGTTCATTTTCTAATGTTTCCGATTCGTCTGGGCCTAGACGGCCTGCAATAAAGGCCAGATCTTTCTTTGCTCACCCAGGTTCTTCAAGAGACAGAGCGGGAGAATTATGCCAAAGGTAACCATCACCACCAGGACACGGCCATCTACGTACCAGGCTCTGAAAGGCAAAGAAAGGGCTGGGTTATGGCCTCAATCAGAAGGCGACACTGCTCTTCCTCAAATGTAAAATTACACAATACATTCGAGTGAATTTTTATCATTTCCTTTTACTATTCTTTTTGAGAATTATTTGAGGATTATTCATCAAATACTTTAACCCTACAACTACTTTGCTATTGCCTCATTCCCATGTGTGGTGAATGGAAGGGGCTCCCCCTCCCGACACTGGCTAAATGTGGCATTCCTAGGAATTATTTATGTGGCTTCAAAGCCAACTGCATTTGTGGCATTCTGTCAGATTACAACTTGTCCTATCAATTATTCAAAGAGAAAGTTCCCTTTTGTTTTGGCTGGGTCGTATCAGCACAGGTGGGCGCCCCTCCCTGACCCTCTGGATTTGACCTTGAACAGAACGCAGGGGAGCTATGGCTTCTACGGTTTTGCTTGAAGGGAAATAGAGAGACCAAGGCTGACAAGGACTCTTAAGCAAGAGGTCAAAACATAATGTTGTGCCAAGTGGCAGCACTCCCAAGGGCGAGGTACATTTTTTATGATGTCAGTTCATGGAAATTCTGCTCCCAAAATGCCAGGAGCTTTCTTTAAGAAAGAAGAGAGGGTTTTCTCGGCCTTTTCTTCTTTGCATGTTCTACTTCTGTGTTTAAAATGTTTCATATGTGTTCTCTGCTACAGCATATAGAAACAGAATTCAGGCTCTGTACCATTTCAGGGTGACAGATTAATCCACAAGTAAGTGGCTTCCTGCTTTTTCCATTTATATTTCTTCCCCACTCCCAACATCCACCCCCACAAAAAAAAAGGACTTTTATTTCTAAAACGTTCCTAAAACAAAACTTGATCATCCTTCATTTAAGCCAGCGGTTCTCACCCTTCCACATGCTGTGACCCTTTAATACAGTTCCTCATGCTGTGCTGAGCCCTAACCACAATGTTATTTCATTGCTACCTCACAACCGTACTTTTGCTACTGTTATGGGTTGTAATGTAAACATCTGATATGCAACCTGAGAACCAGTGAAGCAATCAGCTAAGTTATGCCACAAACCAAAAACAAGAAAGAGAAAAAAGTCAAAAGCTTACGAAAATGCCTCCTCTTTTCCCATGAGGAATTTTATGGCGGAAGGAAGTTCGTTTTTTACTATGAAGAGGTAGCTCAGCATCGCTGGAGGAGAACGAGAACAAGTTTAGAAAGGCGACACCACAGCTCCTGTTACAAGGCACAGGACAGGCAGCAGCTCCAAGGAGGCTCACCTTGGTGAGCACGGTTAGCTCCCGCTGCAGCACCTGACCCTGCCTCTGCCTTACTGTCCCGTGCCGCTGCTCAGACTATGTTAAATTGCACATGGACACCCAGGCAGCAGCGTTAGAACAGCCAGTAATATCCACCCAGGCCATGTCATGTAAGAGAATCATGGTCTTCTTACCGCCAGTGTTCTGCAGCGAGGTGGCTCCGAAGATCACCAGCTTCCCCGTGGTCCCGAAGACTTGTTCTCCCAGCTTTTCATAAACCATGCAGCCTGTTCACAAAGTGAATTTGAGCACCAGAAAGGACAGGGCTCTAAGAGTCGAGACAGCTAACATCTCCTTATGCTGTGGGCTCTTCTTCAAGTTACTTTGTGCCTTTTCTCAAACTCATACCTTGGCACTAGAAGGGTTAAACCACTGTCATTCTGAACAACCTTGACACCTCTAAATATCACACACTACTGATGTTTCCTCTGTCAAGTTGGCTTTGGGAATACTGCAAATAAAGTTTAGATCATGTGGGGGGGGGGAGTCCCACACTGATCTTTTTCATGGATCTGATATATAATATTAAAATAAAGAGTTGATTTTTAAAGATCCTCATGTCTGAAACAAACAAACAAACAAACAAACAAAAATTACCTTCTGGTTGAAGCAGAAAGCCCACCCCGACTTTGACCCCAGCCCTGCTTTGTCATTTGAGACTTAATGCGTTTATTGGGAGAGCTTCTTGGCTGTAGTTGGCAGGGGTTAGCGCAGAAGTTCTTAACAGGCCAGAGTGCTAAGAGTAAGTCACAGTGGAGTGGCTGGCCTCAAATAGGAAAACTGTGTGGCCTCCTCCCAGGCTCAGGAAGCAGCACGGAAGAAGGGTGGAAGGAATGGAAGCGCCCTAGGACGGCAGTGTGAGGCCAGGCTTTGTCTTGCGGGCAGCTCGAAGCTGCTGTGCTCACGGCTCACTGTAGCTGTGGCTGTGGTGAACTGTCCACAACTGGTTCCGTGAACATTTAACCACAGACACGGAAGAGCCCGGGAGGTCCCACCCTTCCCTGAGGGGACTATGAGCAATGGTTGCTGGAGATGGGGTCCTTTCTTGGGTGGTATAGCCGATGATAGGCCCTTGCTCCAGTAAACAGTCTCCCACCCACGGGTGACACTAATTACGCTCAGTGGCCACAGACAAAAACAGGAAAGAAAAGTGGGGAGGGCCTGTTGAGAGGGGTTCCGGTGGGAAGGGGAGGGGAAGAGAGAAAAAATGGGGGTAAACCTACCAAAATTCATCAAACAAATAAATGAAATTGTCAAATACTTTGAGAACATCTTCATAATATCCCTCCAGCCCCTCCTGGTAAATATAATGGCATGCTTGGAACATCTAATAGTCGATACAGAGAATAGTTGATACAGAAGAATTTTCATCGTGTGTAAATATAGTTCAAAGCCATGCAACTGCCCAGAGAACGCGCTAGACAAATCTGTCTAAAGAGAATATTGGCTGCAGCAAAATTCTCAGGTGATCAACCACCTCATTTCAGTATGCAGGGAATTTCTAAACCAAGTCACTAAAAATAAATAAATAAATAAACAAATGTTTATCCTTCCTGATGGCAGTTCATAATTTCTGAATGTTCTTAAGAAGCAATTTGGGTCAGGCTATAATTAAACCTTTGCTTAACCTCATGTTAAGACTGGTGTTTAAACTAGATAATGACTAGATCCTGAATTTATTACAGAACATTCCAGTCATCTGTATACAATAGCTGGCCAACACGGCTTTAGCTAATGTAAAAGTCCAAGTATTACAAACATAATCCAGTGTCCTAGGGACAGAGAATAAACACTTCAGGTGTTACACTGCCCAGAGAACCTGACGTCCCGGGAGTGCACTCACACCCACAATGCCTCGGGAGTAACATTTTTTCTTTGTAATAAGGAGAATAAAAGAGAGTAAAAGGCTTGTTTACTTAAGACCTTGGAGCCCATGGTATAAAAACGGGATCTTTGTTCAAGGCCTAAGGAAACAGTGAAGCCTTTAAATAAAGTCATCTCAAACTAGAAAAACAGGTACAATTGAGAGCCCACTGTAAACGACAGCGTAACATACTGCCTGTGACATCCTGCCTCAACACAATTACCCATCTCGGCTTACCAGTTTCCTTGGAACAGATCAATAGCAGGTTTATTGAGTATATAGACAGCAACGTCACTGAAGTCAGAAGTATCCTAGAGCAAAAAGAGTAAATAAATCAATCCAGTCGTTATATACAGAAAACACATTTTGGCGGCCTCCTTCCGGTTAGTACCCAGAGTTAGCTGTCCGCTTAACACCCTCACTAAAACCCTTCTATCAGACGAAATGCTAATCAGAGTCAACGTGAGAGGACCGGTCCCCATCTGTGATGCAACTCAAAGCCCAAGCAGCGACGTGGGGGACTCGCAGGCTGTAAGACCAGGCTATGAAAGAAAGTCTTTGTGGCATGAATATTCTCAGTTACATCTGAGTGAGAAAGTGGTTTTTGAAGATGGCGTGACAGGGAAAGACGTCAGCGGCCTTAGGAGAGTGAACATGTGAGCTTGGCAGACAAGCCTGACTTCCATACCTCTGACTTCTCACGTCTAGCCCAAAGCTGCCAGATGGTGTGGCCTACCGGATGCTACTCCTCCACCCGAGCATTATAACATTCATTTAGTTTAGTTTTGTTTTTTCCCTTTGTACCTGGTTCCTCTCAGATAAATGCAAACCTCTCTATGTGTGGGCTTTTCACGATCCCGTACAACATGAGAACAGACTCATGTTTTTGTTTCAGTACACCTGGCTCATTAACAGACCTTTCTCAAGGAAAGGGATAGTTAAAGAGATGAGGGAGGGTACGTGGAGTAGTTCTACAGCACTTGGGTAAAACAGACACGGGCACTGGGTGTGGGCGGGGGTGGGAGTGAGGGCGCTTGTTTATTAAAAAAAAGATAATTCCAGTCCCCAAATGAAACCACTTACTTCCCCATACAAGGAAAAATTGGTCCCATAAATTAGCCTTGTGTAAATTGGTCCCACTTTAGCCTTAGCATGATTAAAAGCAGTTCTGTGCTGAGAGGGACTTGGCACCTCCAGCAGCTCTCTGTGAGCCCAGGCTCCCAACCTCCCCCGCTGCACACCTGGGGGCCAGAGGCTTCCCTCTTCCAGCCCCTCTCCCCTCCCCTGGGCAGAACGGCCGCTCTCTCTGATTCTAAAGCATTCTGTTTCCCCTGCACACTGTGCTGCCTTAAAGAGAGGAAGAGGGAGTTCATGGATACGAGAAACAGGTCCAGAAACAAGAAGGCCAAGTTCCATGGAGACGAAACAAGCACAAGGAGAAAGAGCAGAAAAACTGAACCCTGGGAAAAGCTAAACTGTCCTGCTGACAAAGGGGAACCAGGTTTTTTTGTTTTGTTTTGTTTTTTCATGATAATTGAGAAAGTGCATTCGGATTTATATTTATTTGGCAAAGATCCCTGGGCGAGGAGGGTGATAGAGACAGGAAGTCCCCTGCATCTATTCCAACTGAGGCAGGAAGATACCAAGAGCAAGCACCGTATTAACGGACCCAATAGTGTGTAATGGATTTGAGCTGTGTTAGAAACGGAAGAACCCAGACAAGTCTATATTAAAGAAACAAGTTTGGGGTTTTACTGAACATCAAGGGGTACAACTTGTACAAGCACATGTGACAGGCCCCAAGGCACAGGGTAACCTGGATTTCCTTGGCGTGGACAGGGTGAGTGCCAACTCAGTATCTGTCATGTGCTATTCTTGAACGACCATGGGCCGTGTTGGGACTCTGCACCCACAGACCCAAGAATGATGTAGCCTTGTAAGCGGAAGAGGCGCCTAGCAGAACGGGCTGGTCATTAACAGCTACAGAATAACTTGACACACTCTAAGAAAACATCTTTGGCTCTCTCTCATCTAATAAAGAGCTCCTAGGCCCACAGGGCTCATGCACATGGCTTCCTTCCTCATTCTGTGAGGCCTGCCTCACTCACTGTCAGCGACACTCAGTGGCCTCTAGCCAATGGCAGAGGTGAAGAACTATTTATCAGGAAAGATTTTAATAAAATGTCCCCATCTTTCCCACACCTCAATGCAGCAGGTTGAGATATTCCTACGATCATAAAATGACTCAATTTCTGCCATGTTTGCTGACATAACACAGTACCCCACAGTTAACAACATGGAGTGTCTGTAGTGTTTGCCTCAAACCATGCAATCTCTGAAGATTCTTCTTTAACATTCACAACACACATTTCCTCCTCCTCTTCCTTCTCTACCCTCCTCCCACAGGACAGAGTAGCTCAACTTGTCCTCAAACTCACGAACCCCCTACCTCAGCCTCCTGAGTGCTGAGATTTCAAGTGCGAGCCTCCACTCCAGCCAGATCTTCTTGTCTATAACTAGAAACCAATATAAAACAAAACCTGGGGCTGCAGAGGTGGTTCAGAGACTCAGAACACTGCTGCTCTCCCCAGAGGGCTAGGACTCAATTCCCAACAGCCACATGGCAACTCATAACCATTGGTAGCTCCAGTCCCAGGGGACCTAAGGCTCTCTTCTGGCCTCCACAAGGCGCTGTACACACATGGTACACACATACAGGCAGGCAAAACACCTATGCATGTAAAAAAAATATATTTATTTATTTAAAAAACCTATCTCTTTCTATCAGGTCACTAAAAAAGCAAACTATATATGTGAAAATTCCAAGAATGTGAGCTAAGCCAAAATCTAGCACAAAATTTAGCAGGATGGACCTCTTTTGTTAAGACTTTAAAAAGAAGCAATGTTGTCTAATGGATTCTAACATACCTAGAACGGTTTACGAAGCTCAGGTTAGAGATGCGTTAAGACCCAAACTCCTGGAAGAGTGAGCCCAGAGGAATAAAGCAGAGAGTGTGCGTGTGATTTCTTATCTGAATACTTGGGTCTCAAGCATAACGTGACTCTGTTTGTCCAAACAGTTGAACACATAATTATGGTTAATTACGGTTTCCTGCGAAGACACAAAACCACCTAAAAACCAATCCAGTTTCCACACTGCTGATCACCTGGGAAAAGCTGGTTGCTGAAGGAGGCGTTTTTATGTGATAATTTGGTTGTCCAGGGATTGCCCACCCAGTCCTGTGTCGTCTTTGCCAAGGCATCTAGAATGTGAAACTGTACATGGACAGGAGGGGGGTGGCAAGAGGGCTGCCGCCATGAAGGGTGTGGGTAGGCTGTGAAGAATCCTGTGTCCGGAACACTTCAAAAGACTTGGTGTAGAAAGCAAGATGTGATGGCCTGGAATCCCAGCACTTCCCAGGTGGCAGCAGGAGGGTCAGGAGTTTTAGTCTCAGCTACTTAGCATGTTCAAAGCTAGCCTGGGCTACCCAAGACCCTATCTCAAAACAAAAATAATACGACCCCCAACAAATAAAGATATGGGACAGGGATATTCTAGAAGATTTTGTTTCTCCTGACTCAGAGAGTCACTGCCTGGCACTTCACCCCAGAGAGGAGACCTCTTTGCTCTGTTCCAATGTGGATATCCACATCTGGATGGCCTCCTGACGGGGAAGGCACTGGTCAGCTTGTGCCATTTCTGTGTGTTAGAAATGAGGCTGAGCTGAAGCCGCTACAGTTGACAGTTGGGTCCTTACTCCTGGACCTTTCTCCGTCTACCTGGACTCTACCGGCTCTTCTATGTAACAACCCTTCCCACTGCCCTGCTCCCGACTTAATCACCTCCCACCCTTTCATCTGTTCATCATCTGAGTATTTGGGCTGTCTAAGCCTCAGTCAACCTCAAGGGCTATGTGTTGGGACAAACACAAAGACACAGTATCACTTTTTCTAAACAGTGCAAAGCATGATAGGATTTTTAATTCTCTGAGTTGGACAGCATATGTTTTTGTTTTTTTTTTAAACCATTTTTGAGATTCATTTTTTTGGCAGTCACAGCAACTTCTTCATTTTTGTTTTGTTTTGAGATTAGGCTAAGTTCACCTGGCTTTAGCTTGTCTACCAAAGTGCAAGACTCCATGTGTTCATATACGACGTTTGATCTCTCAAGTCTCGTGAAATCTTGTTAATCCGTCTTACTCAGTGTTGTTCGTCTCAGTTTCCTGTTTGCTGTGCGCCTTTCTCCAAACCACTGGTAGGAACTGTGCAGGGTAAGGCCACCCAAAATGGCTTCCCAGGAGCCGCACGAGGGACGGGCCTGCCACCTACTGGTCTGGTGTCTCACGTCTGTCTGCTCAATAAGCAGTCTTTATTTCAACTTGCAAGCATGCCAGATGGCAACAGTCTGCCTGTCTCCCTTTTCTTGCTGAGACTCACTTTCTACCCAGCAGCCAGAATCCTCCTGCAGTCTTACTGTGTCTTCAGGCCTAGACCACAGGTCAGGCAGCTGGCTGATGGTTTAAATCCACCCATCCATACTCAACACCAACGGACAAATGAGCTAAGAACCAACTAACTCACATTTCGGGTCTCGCCTGCAAGTTCTTTGAGACCATACCAGTGTCTCGGTGAAATCAAGACACACCTGTCTACCTGAAGCAGTCCTGTGACCAGGATGTTCACAATTACCTCAACCGGTGATGTTAGGAACCGGTGACGTTAGTCTGGTGACTCTGAAAGACGACAATGAAGCTTTTTCCTGCAGCAACTGTATGTAGATGAGCTGTTTAACCATTTACTCTAGGAGGCTGCTTGAGCCCTTCCACAGCACAAAAAGAATGTTCCCACATTAGACTTGGGGATATCCCTGACCCCCACAAACTCCTCAATTATTGTGATGGTATTCTAAGGAACATTTATTCTACTTTTTGCTAAAACATTCTAACTGCTAACATTTGTGTGTGTGTGTGTGTGTGTGTGTGTGTGTGATTTTCTGCTTATGTATACACATGGGTCTAGAGGCCAAAGGACAACTGCAGGGGTCATTCCTTGGGAGCTGTTCATCTTATTTTTTGAGACAGGGTTTCTCAGTGGTATAGAGTAAGGGAGGCTGGTTGGCTCGCAAGCCCTAGGGATCTGCCTGCTTCCCCCTCACCAGAGCTGGGATTACAAGCTTAAACCACCACCACACTTTTTTAAACACAAAACCAAAACAAAACAAAAAAAACCCCACCAAAACAACAACAACAAAACAGGTTCTGGGAATTGAACTCCTGTCCTCTTGCTAGTGTGGCAAACGCTTTAACGGACT